AAAAATGAGGAAGGCGAGTTTTCAATCTCGAACAATAAGATGTCGAAAAATCCTTGCAATCCACTTTCTGCGAGTTTTCACCCTCTTCGGACAATGAGATTTGGAAATACTCCGCAATCTACTTTCTAATTCTCGCCTTCCTGTGAGCCTGATGAAGAACCAGGATGCTGCGTCAAGCTAGCATAACACCGAAACTTAGTGCTGAATTACGATGGGACGCAAATGATCTCGATTGCGAAACGAGATGAGCCCACTTCAACTCTGATGATTACGACAGATCCTCAGAAATGGAAGCCGCTAGGTAATCTCCCTTTTACAATACCGCCAGGCTGCTTAACCACAGCTGGGAACTCAGCTAACGAAGAATAATCAAGAACTGATACTGTGATACCAGTGATCGCTATTGCGAAATCTGGAACTTGTGGGTCCGATGCCCTTACACTGTGATCACAGAAAATAGTTTCATCGTGCTTTCGCAGGGGCAGTATACCAGCCTGCTGGATGGAGGTTAGTCTAGCACAATATAATGAACGAGAATGACAACTGTACTCTTCGTTATGTAGGCGAAACTAGACAAAAGAACTAGAATGAAAAGCCAAAGCAACGAAGGTAGCGAAATATCTGTTCTCTGCGACATAAATCTAACTCTTACGTTGAACACCATTTAACTACTCTTATAACTGCGACACGACCGGTCACTTACGAAACGAAAACCGGAATGGGGAGGGATCCTCCCGAGTGGCGGGGTCAGCATGACCGCTACGCGAACGCTCCGCGGTCTGCTACCCCGCAGTATCCATCCCGTCGGTACGGGACCCGTCTTGACGACGACGTTGCGCTACTCAGCAAAACTCCATGGTTTGTTATACAATACGATTCGCGTCTTCAAGCATTGTCTATCGGATTTGGCTAGCAATGATTAATTGTTGAAAGCGGGCGCGCCACTCGCGCGCCGGCCCCCCCCCCCGCGCCCCCCGCCCCCCCGCGCCCCCCCCCCCCCCCGCCCCCCGTCCCCCCCCTCCACACCCCCGCTTTCCATGATCTTTAGGTGTTGGCCTCGGTAGCACGCCGGTTCCTCGGTGATACACACTACCCGGACTTGAGCCTCCGGGCTCAGCTCGAGTGCTAGTTGTTTTTCTGCCTTTTCACTTGCTGGTTTTTCCTTTTCCCTTGGAGAAATATTTGGTTTTTGACATCTTTCCATTTCCAATAAGCTCCTGAGTCACAAAACATCCTAGTTATTTGAGATTTTACCCTGCAATACCATCTCGAAAATTATCGTGTTACGTCATTTTTCCGCTCACTCTAGTTCACTGCTCCTTAAATTGGGTCTCATCCAGTAAGGGGGGCATTGTGATGCAACGTCTAATAGCTGCCCTCACCCCCCCCCCCCTGAACTGGCTTCACTCCCCCTGGCTCACGGGGTCCCGTACTTCGAGAAACCTGTGCGCCAGGGGGAGTGTAGGCAGTCTAGGGGGGGGGGGGGGTGAGGGCAGCCACTTGATGCCCCCCTTACTGGATGAGACCCTTAAATTTATTGATATGTCAGATTTCTTTCTTGACGATTGCCTTATGCAACGTAATAAACATACATACATACACATCTCGATTTTGCTTTCCTAAAACATGATTGCTCATTATGAATTGATTATTTGGCGAGGCTCATAACTGCGGTTTCGTAATAACTGCTTTCCTTGTTGCTTGAAATTGGCTGTTCTGGGGCCGTAAGGTATGCTTTTCCGAACAGTAGAGGGACCCCTCCCTGGTAAGGTATGCTCTCCCCGAAAACTCCCGGGAGAGGCCACGCTTACCGGTTGTAGGGGATATCTCCCCGATTGACATGCAATCGCTAGATATACCCGTGACTGACATGCAGGCTGGGAAACATCCCGAGGACCTGCATGCTTTACCGAGCAGTTTTTGAGAGAGCACATTTTCACGCAGGGAGGGTCGCGCACTTCTGGTTTGGTGGAAGGCATATCCTTGAGGCCCGTGTCTCATGCCGAAGGTTAAAGGGCAGGCGTCCGCACAGTCAAATCGGCATTCCGAATTTTTCGCTCAAGGAATTAAGCTCCAGGGTGGGTCCTGTAGAAGCCGAAGCGAAATGGTAAGCAGAGGCCCTGATAGCAGAGAATAAAACGGGTCCGTGGTAGTAATCTATTATTTTGCATTTGAGACCGCGTAAAACATTCCCATTTTGTAAGCCGAGCCTAACACTTTTGACGGGAGGAGAACTGAGGGTGAGTGAGCAATCTTCAACTCCTTGAAGTTCCTGCCCCTCCTCCTAAAGGTTGCCCTCGTATCTCGTAATGGCGGCGCCCGAAATGGTTTTCTTGCAAACCGCCGGATGTTCCTCCTCCTGGCAAAAAAATCCGGAATTTCTGTAAGACGGCAGTTACGGGCACGTGCGGCAACCGAAATGCTCCCTACTGCGAAAGGTGTTTCGCGCCATTTACGTTTATGTGCGTTTGGGATTTTCCCTTTTGGTTTTTCCACGCGCTATGGTCCAATCCTATTGTCTATTGATGTGAAAAATGGCAGTAGAGGTGGTTCATGATTCCAAACGTGCCCAGAACACGGGCTGATTGAAGTGTAAATTCGCCGACTGCTTATCTACGTTCGTCTTGAACCCTTAGAGCTCAAATGAAGGCTGTCTGAAAAATATCTCTCTTCAGTCTATGTCTTCTCCTTCTCTTTTCATATTTTCTCAAGTGGTTGCGAAAGCTCTCGTTTTGATCACTTTTGTATTTTCTTGCTGAATATTTGTTGGCCTATATTTCCACTTTCATTGAAACGATTATTTGTTGAATGAGTTCGCATGTAGCTAGAAATAAGAAGCGTAGTATACACGGACGTGAAATTTTCACAACACATGAGTCCTTAGGGGTATTGTGGTTTCATTTCCAATACAACGCGCTACTGATATGGCGACTAATTGCTTTTTCCCTTTTTTTTAACTATGAATTTTCCTCGCACGTTCTGCATTGAAGACTTCTCTCGTGTTGTGTCTCTAGTCTTCTATCTGGTGAATTGTGCTCCCGATTATGCTTCGATTGAGCGACTTTCCAAATTTTCGCTCTTCCAAGACCTTGTTCTAGATCAGGCATTTTTCCCCGAGCGTTTCGCATGAACGTTGTCACTTCTATTGCCATGGTCCACTTCATCGGACTCGTAGTTTGCACGTGATTCATGAATCGTGATGACGAGCCTTAATTTTTTTTCAAGCTTACAGAGCCGTGTGCAAGTTCGAGGCTGATCATCGCTTGACGACACTAAAGAATAGGCTCTCGCCCTAGTTTACACCTGACATAATTTTGTGGGTCCTTTTCATGTCCTTTCGCCTGATTAGCTCGAAGAGGTTTGTCACTTTTTTATGTGATGTGGTTTATTTGTACGTTAATTGAACGTGTATGTTATGTCATTAATCATTAATCATGTTGAGGACGTATAAAACCCTCAGTAGCTTTGTGGTGCATTTGTAGATCACCAAGTAGTTTGCTTGGACATGAATATGAATACTGGGATCTCGATCGCAAGGGGTGAAATATTCTATCTGTTAAAGTGTGCGTTTTCGACGTATAATGTATGCTATACGAAGTTAAAAAAAGTATTTAAAAGTTGTAACTACTTTGAATAGAAGGCCAGGCCGAATCACCACTAAAAATTCCACATCACTATCTCAGTTGTTTACTCCTAGATTTCTTTCAAACTGTCGGATCTGTTCTTCTGTGAAAAAAGCGCCTAGTTCTGAAAATAATGATTTGCTTTTGATTTTCCCCCTTATCAGCTTCATTAGCATTATCTTCAAATTTTTCTAGTTTTTTCAAACCGTTACAGTCATGTCTCATCCGCCTTGAAATGAATATTCGAGAAGAAAGAGGTAGTAAAAAGGTCGCTCTAATTTCGACGAGACTAATAATTCGTTATCATTGCTTCTTGCAAATTCTTTCCTCATAAGAGATTATCCACATTGCATCTTAAATGCCCGTTCAAGTGAGTTCGATGCGGCTAGGACAGAAGTTATTGGAAAATGTAGTCTGGTCACTGTAACGGGTTAAGGAAAAATAAAGCCTGCTTAATTGGTAGGTAGGCTAGGAGAGGTGATCTATAGGCCACTATCGGAATAAAAATATAGATGCCTGCAGGGTGGAGGCGGAAGGCAAACAAGATCCGGCTTTGTTGGACTGTTTAGCGTGAAAGAATGAAGATTGAATGAATAAAGGAGAGATCTAAGACATCACCCAAGATACGTCGCTGTGTTTTTCTCTGTTGCGGGCGCACCCTAAGGCCACCACTGAGCAACATGTGCGAATATGGTCAAGATTTAATATTTTTTGTCGTCGTTATCATGTGGTGTCATTGATGTCATCCCTATGTAAACTAAGAGTGTACAACTAGACCTAAACTTTCATTTGAACGTCCGCGCAACGTTTTTATATTTTATTCGTATAGTTCCTTTGGATTTACTGCGTGTTTTATGAGCTGACTGTGAATCTGGCCATGTTTATAAGATCTATCTCGATATCGTGCTGAGCTGTATAAACTACCAGGATATCCATGGCAGCAGATAATCTTGTGGTTGAAATGGGGACACTTACCATTAGGGTCGGTTATCTATTAAAAAGAGCCCGTCTGTCGACGGAATCATGGTCCGATCAAATGGCGGAATTTCGTCGACAGATAAGGTCATAGCTGTTGAAGTGGCGCTGTTTTGTCCTTCCTGATTTATGGTTATCAGTTGTGTTGAGCGCTAGATTACGAAGAATGTGCTAGACAGTGCTGGTCTATTGTGCTGCCCATGACGAAAAGCCATCTTATCTGAGTCACTTCTCTTCGTTACGTTATCAAACTGGGAAATAAGCGAGGCCCAAGTTTTTGGTGTTAGCACTGAAAAAAAGATATTGCGGTCTCTCTCAGAATTCCATCATATTGTGGTACTATTCTGGCCGGCAAAGTATAAATTGGAAATCAAACAGAAAGCCTTTTGTGGTCCCATTCTGATGCTGCGACTGTTACTGGTAGCTTTAAACAGCTGTGAAACGATAGTCGTTGAACTTTTCATTTTTATTACGTTTTCAGGTCCTCATGGACCTCCGACATATTTCCATAAGGGTTAGTTTGATTTTCTCATAAATTAAAACGCGCATTTTAGCTGATCTGTCGACGCTATCTGGGGGTGGTGGTGCGAGTGGATTGAGCTCGCTCCGACGTAGCCTGGGTTCGTTTCGGACGGTTTTTCTCTACGTTGTGTTGTACTACTTGCTTTCATTTCCTTACACTGCTTCACACAAAGCTTACTGAACATGCTTTGTTGCACTTTCTCCTGTTGGAGCTTTTTCATAGCTTTGGGAGAGTCTTAATCACTTAGTCTGAAGAAAGCTGGTCTGTCCACTGGTTTTATCACTAGTAAGTTTTCACCTTCACTTGCAAGTTTCCCTCATAAGCATGGGAGCACTCGTCGTCATAACCAACCAGTCTTTGTTCTACTTTTATGACATGTCGTTCTCAACCAAGAACTGCATGTGGGCATTTATGTTGTGGTTGTGGGATCGTCGTTTTTCGATAAGCAGCTGTGTTATTATTGTTGACGTTCAAGCAATTATCCATCGATCACAGCAATGTTTTGCAGCATGTATCGGCAACGAAACCTTTGCATGCAACGACGGGCGATGCATACCTCGATCTTGGCGATGCGACGGTGATATAGACTGTAAGAATGAAGAGGACGAGAAAAATTGTACAAGTAAGTGTTCATATTGGGGAAAACAGTTGAGTATTTATTGTGAAAATACGGTGCCCAGACAGGTGCCTGGTGCTGCCAGCTTACATCGAGCGTGCGCGCTTTCCATTGATTGCTCAGTTACTGTTTGTTTTCCTCGTTGCAAACAGTGATTTTCCTACCAAACAATAGTTCACTGGGCGAAAGTATTAACCATCCATTCGATTGTTGTGCTCATGATTGGAAGAAACATTCAATCGCTATCGGTGTCAACTGAAGCGACGATTGCGAAATGAGACGTATTGAAAATTGAAAAATTTCATATTTAAAGATGTTGTGGTTTGTTTGACCTCACTTCACGAGCAGTGATTTGAAAAAGAAAAGAAAGTTTCCCACTTGATCACTGAAGTATTTCGCCTTTTCTGTTGAGGCCAAATCAATTTTTTTTTGGAAGTTGCTAATGAGGCAGTGGCTTCTCATCTTATTCCCACCCCCCTGGCGCTAGACACAGGCTTGGATTTTTTTTACCTTTTCATTCAGGTGAAACTGCTTTTTTTGCACCAAGTTCTGAAGTGTTAGGTGTTCTGCGTTTCAGCAACTTGTGGTCCTGAAGAGTTCCAATGCGCAAAAGATCAACCGACACCTGCATTTAAACCAGCCATACATCATTCTTGCATACCTTCACGATGGGTTTGCGATGGCGAATTCGACTGCGATGACAGAAGTGACGAGCGGAATTGTCCTGGTTGGTTTAAGTAGTTCTCTCAACCAGCATTTCTAAGTAATTTGTTGCCAAACCCAGTTTAATCATAATTACGCTTTTATGGCTTCCCTGTCATATGATATAACGAAGTCTATTAATCATAAGTTAGCCAAATGTTACGAAATGCTTGTCATTTCAGCAAGAGCTCGGGTCGTCATGATTGCAATTTTGGTATAATGTAAGGAGATTTTCAGATGTAAAGTGTACTGAGAACCAGTTCACGTGTTCTGAATTCGATGGTCAGTTCAAGCTGTGCATACCAAAGTCTTGGCAGTGTGATGGACAGGTTTGTTTGGTGAACGTGTCCTTGCTTTTGAATTGAAGTCTCTTTTATTCTTTATAGAAAGATTGCGCATCTGGTGCTGATGAAGAGAACTGTGAAAAACGGAAATGTGAGGAAAACGACTTCCAGTAAGTTGAAATAGAACAGCATTTGAACAGCGTAATGAACCTATAGGTGAATATCAATAGAAACAGCGTGGAGTGGTAGGCAAAAGGGAAACTCCATTTTATCGGTTTGCAGGGGTAGTCAGACGGAATTCGTCCGTATGGTTGAGTCGTTGAGCTTTCACACTTTGTCAAAATGGCTCTCCTTCTGTTTCGAACGTGTAGTTCTTTCCATTACGATTGACCAGAGCTTTCATCACCAGTGGTGTTGATTCGAGATATTTATGCATATATATCATACACAGGCTTCCTGCAGCGCTACAATTGATCGTGTAATTGTCGAATAGTCGCAAAAGTAGAGTGATGCTGTTTGTTACTGAGAAACTGCGAACCAGGAAAATCTTTTCAGCGCTGGTTGTGAGTCGTTCCCATTAATCTTTCTACAGCAGTTGCTCCGTGACCTGTAAGGTGACGGTTCAGTACTGATGCTAGAGTGTAGGTAGTAGAAAAGGAGAAAGTTTACGAAAAATATGCAAGAGGGAGTCACAATCAGGAATCGGCTCATATGCGTTCCATTTGCCCTGCTTCAGATGGTAAATGTTCAAATTTACTTGTGTTAGTGGTCAAAGGAAAAGCGTTCATGTCTTTCCATTTTTCTTTTGTGCTTCCGAGCAAAATTTCCATTTATTGTGCACCTATAACTACGTCGAACATAGGTGGTCCATTATAGATGTGCCAACGGCATATGCATTTTCAAAAACTGGGAGTGCGATGGTGAGGACGACTGTGGAGACCGATCTGATGAAAGCAATTGCACTGCGACGCCACAACAGATCTGCGATTCAAAGCATATGTTCAAAGTCAGTTTTTGTCACGTTTTCTTCGCGGCTAGGCCATAAGGATTTTCACTATGTCGCCCAACCACTACAACCATATTTCAGTGCCATAGTGAAGGGTGCATATCAAAGGATTGGGTATGCGATGGCGAAGCGGACTGTTTCGATCATTCCGACGAGCGTAATTGTACAGACACGCCACATGAGTGTGCCCATCCGGAAACGGTATGAAAGTTTCAAGAAGAGTTGGCATCGGAAGAAGGGCCAATTCATCATTGCAGGAATTTGCATGCGCGTCTGGGCGGTATTGTATAAACAAAATGTGGTATTGTGATGGCGAAGAAGACTGTCCAGATGGAAGTGACGAGCGGAATTGTGCATCAGCAAGGGAATGCGTGAAAGGCGAGCGAAAGTGTCCTGGCAGTAATCTTTGTATTTCAGAAAGCCAGTGGTGAGTTTTTTTGATATTGGTATTTTTGTAAGATGCGCGACATTCTTTGTGTTTATTGTTGCGAAATCATTTGCAGGTGTAACGGAGTTGAGGATTGTCCAGATGGCTCAGACGAAATGCACTGCCCGAGGAACGGAACAGGTAGGCGGTCCATTTTGTTCCGTTAAGGAAGCCCAAAGAAGTGTCATTTCTGCCCCTAGGTCCATGGAGCATAGTTTCTCATACAACTCGATTTTTTTGGCAGTTTTATCGTATCTTCCTGGTTTTATTTTCCCTCATTGGAATCTGAACTCACCTTCGCTTTTGTGGCAATTAATCAGCTTCATTACGGAATAAAATATCAGAGGGTTAACCTCAAATGCAGTCCTTTAGAACGCTCACTGCATCCACGGCATTTGTTTTCAAATGACTTTCCAATACATTCCTCGATTTTGTCAATTTTTACCAGTAACTGTTTTATTAATTTTGAGCAATAGTATAGTGGACAAAGTAAAGTTGCAGACATACGAGGTTTTGAATAATAGTTCTACTTAGTATATTAATTCTAAACAGGAAATTGGGAAACTAATTTGGATATTCTGTCTATGACTGATTGAATGATTTTGAAGAATTCACACCGTGGTTTTAGTTGAATCGTGTGATGCGAATACTCAGTACACGTGTCCCACTAACCCTCCAGTTTGCGTCAAGTACAGTGATCTCTGTGTAAAACGTGGCCACAACGACTGCGGTGACGATATCACTTGCGCGAAGAATATCAGTAAGTCTGTTATCATTTAAATGTCATTGACAATATCTGCTCTGAGTCCAAATTTTCATTGATGCTAGGCCATGATCCAGTTAAAGTTTCATTTGTTGGAAATGGTTTTCTTTTCACTGCATTTCTATTGCTTTAGCAATTTGTGCTGAAAAGAGTGACTATTGCGATTGTCATAATTCCTTTGTCAAGAATGTGAAAGTTTGTCATTGTCGAGCGGGTTTCCGTGTAGTCGATGGAAAATGTGAAGGTACGTTCCTCTTGTTTCTTTATTATAATTCGATGTCTTCTAATGTAACTTTGCAGATATAAATGAATGTGAACAACCGGGAGCTTGCGATCAGATTTGCGTAAATACTCCTGGTAGTTATGTTTGTCGATGTCACCATGGCTACAAGCTTAGCCGAAGTCCGAATTCAACCGTCCCTAATAGATGTAGAGCATTGGGTGGTGATCCGCTTCTCTTGCTCAGTAACAGGTAAGGGTCATAATATTTGATTTCTGTGCGTTCACCTTTCTTGACTGACATCAAGCGGATATTGATGGTCTTAAATTTTCAGAGCGACAATAAGACAGTTCGATCTTGTCACAAATGTCCACGTTCCACTCATTCAGAGCCCAGGGTCAGCAGTTGCCATGGATTTCCATCTTGATAATGGGGTAAGCTAATAAATCCTGTAATAAGACCTGAGTGGCTCTCATTTTTAGCCTACAAATTTGTATATAAACGATAATTTCAGACCCTAGTTTGGTCGGACATAGCACTGCAAAAAATTCTTATGTGCAAAATCGGCAATGATTCAGTGCATCACCATTTAGCCGTTAGGGAGAAGGTGAGGAGAAATTCCTTATCCGTACTGCTTACACTTCTCTTCACTTTAGCGTCTTTTAATGTTCCTTTTCCAAATCTTTTCATTTAGTGTGCCGAAGGCGAACAAAGCGTACTTCTTGATTCTAATGTTCATACTCCTGATGGATTAGCGGTTGACTGGGTTCACAATCTTCTGTTCTGGACTGACGGAGGCCTTGACCAGGTACTGCATAGTCATGTCTTGCCGTAGTTGTGGAATTTCAAATGTGTTTTCGTATAGGTCAACGTGATGGATTTGGAAACACGCCGAAAGCGCACTCTTTTCTATGATGGCTTGGAAGAGCCTCGTGCTATAGCAGTAGATCCTCAAATGGGCCTCATTTTCTGGACTGATTGGGGAAAGGAAGCTCGCATCGAACGTGCGGGTATGGATGGACAGCACAGAACGGTAAGCTTAACGTGCTATTTGATTAAGTATCAGTTGAATAAGACAGAGGATTGCGTTCGACTCTTCGATAGTTATAACTTTTTACTTCCGGTCATTTCAGGTCATTGTGAAAGGAGAGCGTGTTAAGTGGCCGAATGGTCTTGCTCTTGATTATATTGACAAGCGTGTGTATTGGGCGGATGCCAAAGTGAAATCAATTTTCTCATGCGATTACTGGGGCCGTGACGTGAAGGTTTGTGTAATTTTCCATTCCTAGCCCTACCCTTGAATTTCATCGGGCCAAAATTTTTTTTTTTCATTTTTTGTTATTTGACGAAGCTTATGTGGATGAAAATAGCGATTGGAAGGTCATTTCGTTGCTTCGCGGCTGTAATATTAATCATAAGTGTTGGGATAAGAGTCTCATACGCTAAGGATAAGAGACTATGTTGATAACACGCAATCAAGTCATTTGAGCATACTTCTTATATTGACGGGTAACTGTGGAAGTAATCCTGATGTGCTTTCACATTCAGGCCAATCATAATGCGAAAAAATTACTTTGAGTCAGAGAATAGACATTTTTGTCGTATTAAGGGGTTGAGGGGCGTAGATTATCAAGATGTGCGTGCACTGATCATGTGCTAGGGACAGGTTTTGGGTACGTCTAGGGGTTGAGCGCTTCATCAACACGTGTACTCCAAGTGTGTCGACTGCGTTAATCAACAATCTTGAACTGTTATTTTTGTGGGCGTCAAATGTGAGGAATGCAGAGAAATTATGGAAAGCATGAAATCAGCCTTATCTTCATAACAGAGGGTTAGAGCGCATTGAAATGCTCCCTCCCCAACTCTACTCTTTTCATTGACAATATTTCTTGAGAATACTGGGTTACGAACAAAAATTCAGGACTGACAACAATTAGGAAGCAGGGATGTTTTCGTGCAAGTTTCCACCTCTTCATTTGCAGATTATTCTTCATTCACACCAGTATCTGCGTCATCCGTTTTCCATCGCTGTTTTTGAAGATCGTATTTACTACACCGATTGGGAACACGACGGAGTTATCACGATCAACAAGGTTAATCTTATTATAATGCAAATACTCACGATATTGATAACAAATTAATCGTACTGCCAATTCTTATCTGTAATTATCTGTTGAATGCTATATCCTTGATATATTTCCAGTTTACTGGAGGTGAAATGCGTACGGTGATGCAAAAAGTTTCGACACCCATGACGGTCAGGATCTATCATAGACAAGCGCAGCCTAAATTTGATAACAAGGTGTGTTACGTCTGTTCCGATCAGACTTTGTAACTTTATTTGCTGCAGTATGGTCCGCTTATCTTTTTGCAGTGTCAAAACTCTGGATGCGAACAGATGTGTTTGCCTCGAGCAGTCTACCGTAAGACAGAAAAAGATCTTGAGGTTGAGTGGCATGATCGTCCTTACGCATGTATGTGTCAAGGGGATACTCCTGCTGACCTTATTGAATGTGCAGGTCAGAAATTTTGGTTTTTTTTGTGTCTCATTCAATTTATATTCTTTCTAATGACCCCATCAAAATAATTGTGGGTGAAGTGGGTTCAAATCGATCATTATTATATGCGTGCAGTGCGCAAATTTGGATTGAAATAATTAACATAGGAATTCCGAACCTGGCCGTAAGTGTATGTCTTCCCGAACAGGCAGAGGACATCCCATCCGATGGTAGCTCTCGCCACCGAAAACTTCGGGAAAGCAATGTCACGTTTCCGGGATTTCTCTCGGCCTGCCAGTTCCCCAGTCAGGGTATAGTTCTCCCGAGTGCAATCGCTCAATTGGGAGATATCCCCGACAACCGTGGCCGTGGCGCTCTCCCCGGGAGTTTTCGGAGAGCACACCGAAGGGCGTCCTTCTTCCTTTCGGGAGCATTACTTACGGCCCGCTGGAAGCTAGACCCACGACACATAGCCTGGCCCCTCCCACTTAGTCTTTGGATCGAGACTGAGTAGAACTTCGACGATTCAGATAGCAAAATGAGGGCGCAAGGCATTTGGTCTAGCCACATGAGTATTTATGCGTCAATTGCGTAGCTAATTGCATTGGAAACACAGTTTGGCGTAACGACTCCTCATGAAGTGCTCATCGATTGCTCTCCATTTCAAGTGTTTTATTGAAGTGTTAATTCCGACTCAACATTCCCTGAGACCGTTTTCTGTTTTCATGAAAGTCTATCAAAAGTGGGTAATCGCTAGTTCAACGCAGGCCGTCAATAACATTTATGCCCCGTTTCCGCCGGCGGAGTGCCATGAGGTAGACCATACAACCCAAGCGACGACGGCCTATACAAAATGTAGTGTTTTCGGTCAATGAAATGATTGGCCAGTTTCAGTTGTATTGCATTAGTTGTCAATGACAAACATCAACAATTGTCGATGCTATGAATATAGTTATAAATTCACCAGAGACGTCGCCAACTTTTGTTATGTGCTGCATGCTAGCGGTAGATAAAGGGCCACAATAATGGAAAAATACAACATATCTGATACAGTAGCTTTGGTATTATCTCGAAAAAATAAAACTAAAATATTTACACTTACAATAAAACATTATTGGAAGGCGTGAGCGTGCTGGAGTAAAACGCGATAGCTTTACCTTCACCTTAGTGGAACCTTTCTTTAACCAGTCACGAAACTGAAATAGTTGCATGTACTTCGATCTGCTATTCATGCCCACTGTATGTTTAAAATATCAAAACCCGCATGTATCCCTGTCCGCCCCGTTGATCATTGAGTTTCTTCCGTAGCGAGCGCCAACAAACCGATCCAATCAACTGTGTTCGCGTGCCAAAATGCCCTCCGTAGAATATACATCGTCGATGGACCACCTAGTTCAGCTTTCGCCCAACTGTCCATAAAAGAATTATTGGCTCACTGATGTCGACAAATTTGCCCTGGTGTGTCTGAATGTCTCGTGGTTTCCAGTCGTCCTGCTCTGTTTCAACCGGCATCACTGGAACGCATTATTTCTTGTTTGTTTTTTGTGTTTGTCCCATGCTAATATTTCGATTTCTGACGTAAATGGCTCGCCTTGACTCTTCGCCATCGTTGCGGAAGTTCGATAACTTTGGATTACGTTTCCACAGCACTTGGATGACGCGACCGCATGCAGAAAATCAGTAACAATCTGAATCGGTGGTTATCCTTACATAAAGTTCAAAGCCGAATCTAATAAATTTCATAAATTGTCTATTTTTCAGTGGATATTGCAACTGGTGGAGCTGGACGTGGATTCTCCCTAAGCACAATGCTTTTCTTCTTGATGATGGCCATTTTCGCGGTAATGGTGCGTTTATCAGTAAATCATTCTCTGAAGTTCCTGGATCTCGTCCTCTCGGGCACATATCTTCCCATTTTCTCTACCAAAATACTGCGATTTCAGGGTGTTGTGTATTATCGTAAGCGCAATTCTTCTGGTGCTTTCACTGCTCTGAATTTCGACAATCCGATCTATCGTCGAACAACTGAGCCCGACATGGATGATCCATTCCGCGATCCTTTCACGTACTGCTTGCTTTTTCTTTGAACGCTATTTTTGGGTTTGCAATTCTATATGTATTTTAGTGAAAACAGTGGAGTCCAAATAGGCCCTGGTAACGCTCGTTTGGTATTAGCCGATCCAGAAGATAACGTTCACAACTCTATGGTAAGTACATTTATGTTAGCTATTTAGGTTAGGTTTACTTAACATTTCGACTCATTGAATATCAGCTCTTTTTGCAGATTGAGCCAATGGACCGTCCTTTAACTACGTAATCAATTTTTTGTTGGTATCGCTGTAGATTGCCCTTTTTTCGCTGAGTTTTATTATCAGTTTGATTTCTTTCACTGGTGATTTAAGTGTCTACCATTTCACTCATCATTCTATGTGTTCTGTACTTTTGTTTTCATTTCCTTGAGGTACGGTTATGTGATGAACGCGCTTGGCGTATGCGTTTCTGCTGAGAAATTCGCTAGTGAGCTTTGGCGGACGGGAAATACTTTATATGTATGAGTACATTTGTAAACTGTATATTGCAATATCTCTGGTTCTGCTGTGATAGCTTTCCCGTGGTTTTGTCGCGCCCACCCTGCGATGATCAGCTTCGTCATCACGCTGTGCGTTGCGGGTGTCCACTATATCCAGTCCTTTACCCTGATTTTCGTTCATCAAAACCCTTGCACAGTTGTTAAGCCCACAGTCCTCGACATTGCTGTTTGAGCTTTAGACAAGATCACATTCATGTGATTGTGTCTACTCTCGTATCTTGCTCTGCTTTTTGGTGATATTCTAACGACTCATACATTGTTGCAAGTTGCAAGTTGTCTGATTATTATGATATGTTGATAACATTACTAGCTGTGACTGATCTTAGCGGCGTAGTTTGGCATTGCTCACCGAAAGTGCATGTTTCATGTAGTTTCTTTGTACAGCTAATTCTGTAATAAAATTTGATTGTTTACACATGTTCTTGAATTCAAGCCTCGAAGGCAGAGTTGATGGAAAAGCAGCCCATTAAAAATCAGGGTAAAGAAGTCGGTGATGCAGGGATGAAGAAAAAATCATGAGAAAGGTGCAGAACCAGAGAAGTGGGACCCCTTCTTCTCCCGTGGTTTCTCATAGATGCGACTCTATCGGTGCTGCCCCTTCGTTGCTAATGGTCTATCTGCTGAATAGCTAAAGTCAGCGCCGAGAGGAAGGGTGGGGGGGGCAGCGGGCGAGCTGCGCGGGTATGTCCCTGTTAGGCCGATGGGCACACCCTTCACTGCAAAGAGAAACAGGTATTTTCGAGTAAGCACCGATTTGAAAAAAAAAATTTAGGGCGGAATAATCAAAGGAGTAGGTCGACTTCCGTTTCGCACGTGCCCTTAGACGGAAGCCAAACTGTAGAATACCTCCTCCGTGCTCTTCAGTAAGGAAGGGAGGAAAAATCGAGACTCGATGAAAAGGTCGAAGGAAGAGAGGAAAAAGCGAGACTCGATGAAAAGGTGACATCACGCGTGCTCAAAGATGTTCTTGAATGGATGCCACATTAATGCCACGTCAATTTCTGCAATTGCACAATTTCTGGTTATTTGAAGGCGAGAGGGGAGAACGGTCCGAAAGTCCCCACGCTGAAACTGCTGCCGCGCCGAAAACTAGGTCACCGCGCGCGACGTCGCCGGTGTTTCTGCAATTTGCCGAGTTCAGGACCCCTCTCCAGACGATCGATACAACGCTTTCCTGTTCCCTCTGTGTAGGCCCCATTCCTGCATTTGTTTCAGCTTAGTCCTAGCAACTTGATACGTTTCAAGCTGGATATGGTAGATAGCCGCCGCGTGCGGTGACCTACTTTCGCTTGCGCGGCGACCTCAGGGGGACTCTTGTCTCGCATCCCAGAAAAGAGTATGTCCCCTCTTCCGGTATACCTGTCCTGTCGTGGAATCCGTTCAATTCTCGCCAAATGCTGTCTTTGCACAATGCCGATTGTCCTCCTTTTCTTTTTAAGCGACTTGTCGTTGTAGACATTTCTTCAGTGATACATCCATGATTACACCGCAGAGTGTAGAGCATAGGAAGGGAGGGTATTTCAGCCTCATTTGTGGTGTGTTTACCTGATTCATAGAGTCACGGGTATGGCGTCATCGCACATATTCATTGCGAGTGTAATGGGGTATTCGGTTACATTTTGTGCCTAGTCCTCCACCTGCATAACTGCTTTTTCTTGGTATCTTGGTACCATGAGAGGTACACGCAGCGCTCGACGAGAATGCTGCTGAAAGGGCTCACAAGGGAAGGATGGTAGGTCGAAGTGGCCGTTCGAAATGAAATGTATACCACCTGATGCGTCTCCAGACGCTGATTCCAAATCTGCCTTCCAAATCTGCTAAACGACTCTCCATTTCGAACGGCCACTTCGACCTACCATCCTGCCCTTGTCAGGTGTGCAAAGAAATGGAGAAGCAGGTTGTTCGCTCTGTACTCCTCACCCGGCAAACCCGAATCAGTACCACCTACTCCACCCCTTCAGTTTGAGGCTTCCAGTAGATTGGTTGCGACAGAACGTCGTTTCACATTAAGTGTTTCACTGTATCTTGGGCGGAAGCGGTGTATTGGCAAGTGACGCCCTTGCAGCGTGCACGGTGTGACCATCGCAAATTTGTGTCGTACTCCGTCCAGGCCAACCAACCCTTCCATCCCATCAGGTTTATCTGTTGGAACACACATATTTGGAACGAAGCCTCCTGACTTACACCTTCTGGTCCTGCAAGTCGTTATACGTACCGACCTGTCCACAGGCCTTTGAAAGTATTAGAACGCAATGCGCGTTCCGTTTCTTTAATAATGATTATACAGGGGGGGGGGCAATAAAAAAAACATTTTGTCTCCAGACTCAAATGGATTTAATCACACTTTGCTCAGCTCAAAGCGTGTGCTCCCAACTTAGAATTGAAGAGCGCATTCATTTCATAAGAAAATCTTCATAGTGGCCATCTACGTGGACGGCATCAGAAAAGTTTGCCCCGGAAACATGGTGCTCTGGTCGAGCTCAATGGGGTTCTCGACTGATCGTGTACCGTTACGACGGGTTCCGAAGGGCGGGTTCCGAGGGGGTTTGCATAGTTAGAGCTAATGTCCCTAGGAAACTATCCCACGTTGAATCGATCCAAGAAATTATGTAAGAGCTTCAGGCTGAAGCAGTTACTGTAGGCCTCCCTGAGCTCGACGACGGTGACAGATGACGTCATATTCTGAAGACGGTGAGGGTAGTGAAGGAGGGCCTGCGTGTACTTATAGAGGGACATTTAGGGAATATTTTGCTGAGAACTTCCGTCAACGACGGCAATCTCTGCGAAGAAAAAAAAGGCCGAAGTGCGACCTGGGCAAAATGTCTTTTTTTGCCCCCCCCCTGTAACATTTGTGTGTTCACCTAGGTCATTAGTGAATGGGTACAAAAGTTTATGGAAATCGGCCTAGCTATTTGAGTACAGCAAAGAAAGTTCATGAATGAATTGATGCTGTGGTGTTTCAATAAGTGGAACGTCCTCTAACCATACATGAGCATTGCATTGAGGACATGACCACCTCAGTCCCATCCTCTCAGGTGGTAGTGGTACCGACGATACTCCATTACTACTCTCATCTACCCTGAGTACAACCAGTCTTTCCTGCCGGTGATTTCCTCGACTGATTTCCCTTGCACTTACTAGGGAGTTACAGAGCTTAGCGGGGGAGAAGTTCATTAGAGCAACAATCCAAGAACGAATTCGCGAAAAAAAAAACCAGCGACAATGAAGTTGTAGGTAAAAATTGACCAATAATGAAAGAAAAAGTAAAAAAAAAGACGTCGAAAAGGGACTTAGGCAAGGACGATGTGCTAGAGGGGTCTTGTGACATCTAATCCTTTTGCTCCTCTGCGTCTCCCTCACAGGCCAGACACCAGACACTTAGGCCCAAACTTTTGCCACAGGTTAAGTGGCTCACACACCCCCCACCCCCCTGAATTGGCCCCATTCCCCCTGGCTCACGCATTCTTACTTACTACCTATGGTTCAATGTCATTCACCAAGCTAGCGCTGGCATTAACAGCAATTGCAACTGGGGGGGCGCATGAATGGAGATCGTATTTATGTTTTTGACGTTAGGAAGGTGGAAGAAAATGGGTGCTAACTTAGTTGGGGGGGGGGGCACGCGGCGGCGCGGCAGTCTGCTCGCCTGGCATGTTCGGAAATCCGTGGGCCAGGGGGAGTGTAGCCAGTCTAGGGGGGTGGGGGGTGGGGGCAGTCACTTGACATGCGTGAAAAGCTGGAATGTTCGAGTTTACACTGTCTCGCTCGAGAGAGCCCAGGTGAGCAGACTGCCGCGCCGCCGCGTGCCCCCCCCCAACTAAGTTAGCACCGGAAAAAACGTAGAAATATAGCGTAGTCGGCATCACCACATCGATTGCTTTGAAGGATCGACCTCAAATAGTCCCGGTGGTCCCGAAACGACCGCAAATGTCTGCGCAGCCAATCACGCACTCTTCACGACAGAAGTGGGCGGTACCGAGGCTCGGTGGATCCGCCCACTTCGACGGCGTTAGACCCCCTTCCAACGCCTTTCAAAGGTAAGTTTTCAAATCAGTGACATTTCCTATGTACTTGACTAGGGCTAGTGCATGTTTCCACCCCTTAGGATCGACCCGATCCGCACTGTCCAAACTGGTTGATAGGATGATATGCCGTTTAATATGCCGCAGAGCTTCAGATACCCCGGGTCCGCGAAAAGTACTCACTGCCACACAAACTGCTGCTACGCCATGACGACGCTCTGTGATCGACGCTCAGGGTCACGTCTCCTCTCAGACTCACTCAAGCCCGCCGTGCCCCTGACGTTTCATTTATTTCATTTCTTCAGGCAACTAATTCGACGCCCTCGCAGTTGTCCGCACCTCACAAGACGGCTCTCCAACAGACGATAACTTTACTCTACAGCGGTAGCCGAAAAGTATATGACGCCATGTTTGTGTGTTAGAAGCCAAGAAAGAGACTCGATCAGGAAACCGACTTCACACAAAGATAGAGTTAAGCTATTTGATCACTTGTGCAGAAGGTGCTTTGAATTTGACGACTCTGCTTTGAGAGAGGCCTTCTGACGTCCAACGACAAAATCAGCAGTGCGCCGCAGGTAGCCAACGGCGATGTCGTCCCACCTCTTCTGAAGCGCTAACTTCAGAGCACCCACCGAGCTGGAGAAGTCGCACAAGGTCTTGCTCCACAAAATCCTCACATAAGGAAGTCCATCGAGTTAAGGGCCT